GTCAAGACTTTGAAACATAACAACTCTGCTTTTAATTAAGGTAGAATGTTTAAACTTGATGTAGATGTTCATTAGGTCTTGACTGACTTCAATGATTAACATTTCGAGCTAAAGCTAAGCAGAGCTAAGAAATTTCATTGGTCGATGCTTTGGGACAAGATAAATTTGATTCTATCTGATAGAGTGATGAAACTTAGTGTATAGATCATAATCAGTTGTTTTCTTAATACTTTTGAAAAAAATAAATGTGCGATTAATTAACATGTATCATCTATTTATTTGCGGGGGACATCAGCCTCACTGTTTTACTTTTCTTTAAATTGAATACCATGAATTTGTACTGAATTGACTATGGATTAAAACATTTTTTCTGCAGCCACTCTACTTTGTGCGACATTTATCGGGCATCGATTATTATTTATGAATGCAGCTGCAACAATGTGATTTGATGGTTGGAATTCAGGTCGGCATAGAGTGGGATTTCGGTTACAAAACCATTAGAGAACTTTAGCGTTGCTTAACTCACAGGCTAGAGAAGCAGAAAAACGCATTTGTGGTAATAAAATTTTCAAAATTCTATCAGGGAGGTCGCGGCCATTTACCCCGAAACGATTGATTGGTTTTTGGGGAAATAGGTCAGCCATCAAAGTTAGGCTATATCAGACCACACTGAAGTTGCTGTATTCACAGCAGGAAAAGGCGTTTGCAGCAGTTTAATTTTTCAAAATTTTCTCCTGACAGTCCCGTCTCCGTGGACTAAACGATTGATTGGTTGATTGGAATTGAGTCAGCCATCTTAATTAGGCTAAATTAGACCACCTTGAAGTTGCTTTATTCAGAGGTTAGAATAGCAGGAAAACACGTTTGCGGTGGTCAAATTTTCCAAAATTTTCTTGGGGGGTTCCTACACGGTAAGCTCTGCTCCTCCGGTCTTGCAGAAAACCGGCGCCACCGCCTGTAAACTAAAAATTTGTTCAGGCATTTCGGATTCTGCCCCCTAACTAACCTTCGGGCCCGTACGCCTATGATCTAGATTCTGCTATCTACTACCTCTATGTTATTGAGGACGTAGATCTCGTTATCTTCTCAAGAAATAGCAGAAAATGTTTAACAGTATGATAATTTGTCAGGTGTATCATATATAATTTCTTGATAAGATTCTTGCAGCACAATATGTTGTTAGTCCAGGCCAAATTATTGGGAAAGCTGACAATTATAGAGCTAAATTTTATAATCACCAATTGACACCAATTTTGGACCTTAAAATGTGTTTTGAAATTGTTGACTTTAAGATTGTGTGTAATTCAGATGTTTTTACTATCTATATAACACCAGTATAACGATCAACAGTGGTGTATAAAGATATGGCAATATGGTCCATGTCAAGTGGACCAGTGCTTGTAAAGTGATCCCCTCAGAATATTATGCGTACTTAACAATTATGCATCAATTTCAGACTAAGGGAGTACCATTAATTTATAGAAGCTATGCGTAGTCATGAGCTTGCTCTTACAGGGTTTAATTTTATGATAATTAAAGTATTGGAAATGATATCCTTTCATATGGGCGAAAAATATAAATACCGGTACATCAACATGTACCGAAATTTTCCATGTTTTTGATATTGCATCATAAATTAATGGTACACACCCCTCATCACCGGTTTGAGAGAGAGAGAGAGAGAGAAATGGAGTTTAACGTCCACTCAACCCAGACTAGGTCATTTCAGGATGGTTTAATTTTATTTCAATAATTCGCTTGAGCGTAGGGGTCTTTAGCAGTGGGAAGAAACCGGAGGACCCGGACAAAAACCCAAGAGGTTGGACAGGCAACCCTACTCCTTGTCACAAACAACCGGGGATTCGAAACCACGCCAGTTGACTCAATGACTGGCCTTATGATACAGCGTGCACATGCTAACCATTCGGCCAACAATCCCACCCCACCCCGCCCCATACCCACCTTTGGTTTAATAAAGATGCATGATTGTTAAGTGTGCACAAAATGTTCTTAGAAGGTTTTGTTTCATGATGATCAGGCAATTAGAAGTATTATAATCAAACCATTCAAATCTGCAAACAAATGGAAAAAAAAATCATAATTTACTGTTCAAATTTAATGAAATGAAGGGGTAACATATCAAAGATGGGCCTTTCATTATTGATAGACACATGTACATGCAACATTTTCCCAAAGTTTCATATTTTTTTCGTTGAAGGCTCCTATAATTGGTTAGCGTTTGAAAAAGAGTGATTTTAGCTATTATCCTGTTTGAGTCGATTTTCAAATCTAATTATTTTACAAGAAACCGACAAAAATATGGCTTTTAATAATCTTTGTTGAAACAATGATACATTATACATGTGATAACTGATAATCTTCTATAATAGGGTAGTAAAATTTCTTCACTATCGAAATATTGATTATTTTTTTTTGCACAAGTATGCCTATCAATTTTTGGCATTTAAAGCACTCCATACTTTTTCTGTAAAATTTGATGGTAAATTCTTAACCTATAACATTCTCTTACAAAACCCCATAATTTCAAGAATATGGATTGACTAGAAGGAATAAAATCAGATCACAAAAATCAAGTCATAGAATAGTAGTTTCAAAACCTGCGAAAGGATACCCCGATTCAAATGGTCATATCTCAGTCAAAATTAATGCTAGATTCATATAACTTTGTCGTTTTACATAAGTCTGTACTATAACATATTTTTTTCATATTTTTCTGAGGGGGTAACTTTACATTTTTCTGAGAATTTGGTCCACTTGACATGGAATGCCCCTTACATCAGATGTGTTAATAATAGGGGGAAGTTGTCATATATTAACTGACAGCAAAAATTCATCTGTGTTCAAGCTAATAATTTCAGATCAGATCAGATTTCACAATCTTGACATTCTGTAACTAATTCAAATTACAATTGTAATACGTATGTGAAACCCATCATCACTGCACACCAGTTCCTGTGTCTATCTATAGATATTTCTATTCTTGTATGTACTGTTGTGATTTTGCCCTATATGATACAGGTGTCCGTCAGGATAACCGGGACTACTTCCACCTATCCACGGAGTCCCGTGCTACCAACGGGATTTAACCTATTATTGCTGTTTTGCCGTGGCTGCGGCTGAGATTATGTTTAGACTCAAAATAAGTAACATTGTTAGTTTATGCGGACGCCTTTACATGCTAAGCGGGGCTTGGATAAATACACTTGACACTACAGTACTATGCAGAATGTGTAATATAGTATAACAGTGGGCAAATAGACCTCTTGTTGTATTTAGTATCAATTTGCTTATATTGTAATTATATTTTACTTGTCCTGCATTATTAGTTTATTGTGATGTATCCCTGTAATTATCTAATAATTCTATTGTATATATTTTTTTATCTTGAGAATTTTTCTTATAAAAGCTTTTATACACCCACCACTTTTTATGATACCATTGTTTTTGAAAATTAGGGAGCTAAGAATAATCCAAGGATTATTGTAAGAAAGAAGTATTTGAAAGGGGTGGGACGATTTACCCAATACTACCCAATATCACAACATACTACCAAATACTGCAACATAGTGATGCAAAATGTGTATATTTCTTGAATTTTTTTCAAAAATAGTGAGTTATATCACGAGAAATTTACTTCAAATACGATTACATATGCCTGGCTGTTCATGTGTCTGCCTATATCACACAAAACGAGCAAATAATAACCCAATACTTATCAAATACTACCCAATATTATCAAATAACAACCTAATGTCGTCAGATAGCCTCACATCGGTATAATTACCAAATATTCGATAATTTGCAGAAAATTGAAATATTTACGTTGTATCATGCTGTTGCAGTTATCTCCCTTTACAACTGATAAATAGATTTCAGATTGCTACTCAGATTCATCATATCGTTGGGCTTTATAGTTGGTTTCCAAGATGACAAAGTTAATATAAGAAAAACAAATATTTTGTGTATATTTTAATCAGTATATATCATTAAATCAAAAATCACTAACAAACTGTATTATTATATAAGATGGCCATAAGTGTACAAATAACTATTTCAACCCACCCATGGGTATCGTCAGGCAGTGGCAATGACAAAAAGTTATTACAGATGTAACAAAGATTTATTTTTGTAGCTTGTTTGAATAAATAACTTTCTAAAGAAATGTACATGTACAAAATATGCATCTCCCAATTGGTTTACAAGATCAAGAATGTTATCATTTAGTAAAGTATGTTTTAACTATTATTTAGAGGATTCTTTAAAATCCTTTTCGAATATTTTGTTTACTGGTAAATTTATTTCAGATTTGTACACTTTTGTTATAATTTTGATGGAATTATTTCTTGTTGGTCAAACATTATTATGTAATATTAGTACTCCACATAGGCTACATGACATTTTCAAAAGAGAATCATAATTTAAGGTCATAGGCGTACAACTTTCGAGCAATATGACTTTTCGGGCAGATGGGTAAAGTGAATAAATTTGTTTTATTTCATAAAATTAAGTGCCCGAAATCTAATAAAACACTAGTTTTACTCTTCTTTTAATTGAATACGACGAATTTGTACTAAATTGACTATGGATTAAAACATTTTGTCTGGAGCCACTCTACTTTGTGCGACATTATTTGTGAATGCAGCTGCAACAGTCTGATTGGATGGATGGTTGGAATTCAGGTCGGCATAGAGTGGGACAACTTTGGTTGCATAACTCATGGACTAGAATTCGATCCAGTTAAATTTTCAAAATTGCCCCCGGAAGGGTGTGGCCCCCCATACCCTGCGACGATTGATTGGTTGTTTGGGATTCAGGTCAGCCAGGTAGGCTATATTGGACCACATTGAAGTTGGTGTATTCGCGGGCTGGAATAGCAGGAAAATGACCCCTCATCCAAGCATTATGTGAAGGATGAGGGGTCATTATTTCCCGTAAAGCCTTCGGCTTTTCATGTATATTCAGCACCTTTAAATAAGAAAGACAACAACACTACCACTAAACATTTTATTTACATTGTTATGATCGTACAGTAGGCCTAGCTAATTGTCGCCAAATACAGCCCTGGAGTAATCTGATGTGTTCTGTTCAACATCCCTCAAATAAAATTTCTTAAAATTTTTCGCAGATGACCAATCAGCAGTTCTCAGAATTTCCTGTAAAGTACACCCATGCATAAAAGCAGCAGACACTGATGCAGATCTAAAAGAATGGGCCTTAAATTTATCATTAATACCAGATGCAGCTAAGACATCTTTCAACCACCTAGCAACAGTACTAGTTGTAACAGCCTTATATGTACAGTGTGAAATCAAAAGCTGGCCTGACAAACGATTATTCTCAGTTTTACTTACATAAAACAATAAAGTGTGCATAACACACAGACTCTCATTTTCAAAATGAGACGGAACCATCTTGAATTTAGTATCTCGACTAGTTTTCAACAAATTGGTAAACATAAATTCAACTTTACCTTTTAGAATATTCATGTTAGAAAGTTTCAATGCTACAAGAGTTTGTGATCTCGGAGCATTAGACAAGGCTAATAAAGCCACAAGTTTATAAGTTAATAATTTTAATCCCAAACTTTCAAGAGGCATTAAAGCCGACAAATATCTCAATACTACGGAAACATCCCATGTAGAATCGCATTTCGGCTTAGGTGGACATTTATTAAAAACCCCCTTCATAAATCTAGCTATAAACCTGGGGTTTTCACACCAAGAGTTATTGAATAATTTGAGTGTTTGAATCAACATAGATTTATGTGTATTAATCACACTATACGATTTCCCATTTTCTATAAGTAAATCAAGATAGGCAAGCATGTCTACTTCAGAGGTATGCTTGGGATTATAGCCCCTAGATTTACACCAAATAACCCATTTTTGCCAGGCCAAATCATATTGTTTGTTGGTTCCTGTACGCCAAGAGTTGATGATAACTTGGATAACTGACTCTGAAACACGTTGCATCTTAAGTAATTTCCAGATACAGTCACTGCGGCTAAAGACATTGACTTGCCTAGAGGATGAACTTCCTGACTGTGTGGCATTACTAAAAGGTCCTTGTGTGGTGGTAACCTAATTGGAAAAGAAATTAAACATGACATTTTTGAGGGAAACCATGGCTGAGAAGGCCAGTGTGGTATGATTATAATTGCTTTTTCTACTTTATCAGATAGAACTTTGTTAATTACCCTACCTATTACCGAAAAGGGTGGGAATATGTATGGATTTAAATCACTCCATGTGAATGAAAAAGCATTATTCTTATAAGCACCTGGTTCCGGGAGCCAAGAAACAAAGACATCTATTTGAAAATTGAGTCTCGGCGCAAACAAGTCTATGTCTGGATGAAAACATTGATCACAAATTCTGTGAAAAATCTGAGTTTTTAACATCCATTCAATAGAATCAGAAAAATGTCTTGAATAAAAATCAGCTTGGAAATTAAATTTTCCAGGTATAAACTTAGCAGATAAAAAGATATTCCTATTAATACACCAGTTCCAAACATCTTTAGCTAATTCATCCAAATGAATTGACTTCATGCCACCAAAATTATTTATAAGAGATTGCAGAAGTATTGTCCGAATAAACCTCAATATGAATATCCCTGCAATTCGAATAATGGGATTGTAACCCATAAAATATGGCTAATAATTCCAAATAATTTATGTTGTTATTTGATTCAGCAAGTGACCATCTACCGCCAAAAACAATATCAGATTTTGAGTCATGAATACCCCATCCATGGGAAGTTGCGTCTGTTGTAATAGAGACATGTGGATTTCATTGTCTAATAGTCTTGCCATTTTTATACGCCCACATTGAAATGTGGTCGTATATTGTCGTCACCCCCGTCCGGCCAGCGTCCACAATTGCTTGTGGCCGCTCTAGAGGCTAAAGTTAATATCTGATGGACTTTAAATTTATACACAGTGTTTAAGGTCATGAGACGAAGAAGCCTATTGATTTTCAGCAATTTCCGATAATTACTGCCAGAGTTATGGCCCTTGTTCACTTCAAAAAATCTTGTGGACGCTCTCGACGCTAAAGTTAATATCCGATTGAATTTAAATTTATATACAGTGTTTAAGGCTATGAGACGAAGAAGCCTATTGATTTTCAGCGATTTCCAATAATTACTGTCAGAGTTATGGCCCTTGATCACTTCAAAAAATCTTGTGGACGCTCTATAGGCTAAAGTTAATATCCGATTGACTTTAAATTTATACACAGTGTTTAATCTCATGAGAAGAAGCTTATTGATTTTCGGCGATTTCTGATAAGTTCTGCCAGAGTTATGGCCCTTGATCACTTTGAAAAATCTTGTGGATGCTCTAGAGGCTAAAGTTAAGAATGTATCCGCGAGAAGACCATGCAAAAATTGCAAAAAGTGCTAAGATGGGGGGTCGGAAGTTTTTGATCAAACTTATGGTATGACACCCCCTAGGGGCAAGAGGTAACATGCTGAAGTGGTTACTGTCTGATGTCGCTCTAAAGGACTGTACAGGAATTATTCACCATGGTCGCCAATGATCGCCGAGTCACCGCGGTTATTTTGAGCATGTTCAAAGCAAACGCCAAGGTTCTGCGATCTGAACTGTAAAACTATGAGAATACGACTTTTTTTTCAAGTTTGTAGTTTTTGGGGACATTTTCGAGTGTTGTGTTCACGTTTGCCGGCGACCTTGTGCATTTTCTGGTCACCGTACAGGCGCAGTAGCACAGTAAGGACGTCACCCCGGTCTGACGGGGGCATAAGTAAACCGGTGCCACATCGCAATTGTATAGGCGTAGGTACATATCACTTACTGTCATACAGCCGAGGCTTGATGTTCGCCCATTCGGACATAGTGACTTTGAAATGAAATTACTTGTATACGCCTGTCAATAAAACTATTTAATGTATGCCGTAAATTAGCCAACTCCACTGTCTTTAATCTAGTATGGTCTGCGGCAGTGGTTCTCAACGTTTTTGTGCACATGAAAAAACAGCGACACACCCGACTTAATATATATGAAAAATTGATTTTTTTGCAAAATAAAAAACATGGCAAATCATAGACGGCATACAACTATAGCCACAGACTAGTTATAGACACATAGTATGGCTCAAACTAAACGGCACACATGGGAGGATCCCACGGCACACAGGTTGGGAATCACTGGTCTACGGTAACGTAGCTTCAAAAGTTATCGAGATATGTTGGTTTCATTAAAAATGGTGCGAACTAGCCCCGCTCTCCCCTATAGAATGAATATAAACAAGGGAATGTACGGACTATTTCTATTTTTCTCGTGTTCTCTTACCTAATTACATTCAATTACTGTATTGAATTGTCAGCTATCCTCTTACAGTCCAATATAACAACTTTTGGTCTTCGAAAGAATTATTAGTGAGCAGAAAATCGCCCATGTATCTGTTATCAGTCGGCACTTCAGCCAGTTATATAGAGGTATGTCCCGTGTTTTCCTTTGGCGTTCGTCACTTCCGACCTGCGAATCCTGTATTACTCAGCTATCTTAGCAGTGATCTCTCTGTTAAAATTATATTTGGAATGTATTTAACCAGTTCTATCACATATGTGATAATGACTGGCACCAATATTGTCCTTTAAATATTAACGGCAACGAAGCCTAATTGAGTCGAAGTAGGCAAACCCCCTGAACAGAGCCCACGACATGGACCTTGGGGCCCTGGGACAAGCAACTCGGTGAGAGGGTGGATCGGGGGAAGTCATGCGGTTGGTGGTTCGAATCTCACTTTTAGGTGAATTTTTCATTTTCGTTGGATTATTTTATTTAAAATAATGTCTATTTGAGAGTAATGGATATGTTTGTTAAAATTGAGCACGTCGAAACTCCAATGGAAGGTCGTGGACAACTGCGGAAGTCAATTGCCGTCGACGCCAGATGAGCCATGAACGATTACAGGCCTTTGAAAGTATTTTTTTTTCAAGATATTTTTATAAAACAGATACTAATGTATTTTAGGGCTGGTAGTAAACACCATAAGAATGAAAAGGAAAATAAATTGTTAGGTTTTTTTTATCTACTACGGTTAATTATCTCCAAAATAGGGAAATTACAGATTAATTTCATGGGTTATTGTTTCCTTTACCTAGTTTTTGTCAAGTCGATTCCGGTCATTTTTATTTTTTGTATCAAATGTTGGGAGGTTGCTTGTTCACATGAGCATAAATTTTTTAAACCCACCCCATGAAAGAAGTAGCTATAGGGCGTCAAACTTTGGGTGACGAAAAATGGGGAATTTAAACAGGCTTTGTTATCCATTCCGTATACAGATCTCGTTCGCCAAAATCGTCTGAAGTTAATATTGTGGTAACAGCTCTGAGTCATCGATAAACTGTGTGAGTTTGGTCTTTCTGCTACGTATAGTAAAGGTGTAAGGACTTGCCAAAGTTGGTGTTTGAGAAAAGACAGATTTTGGTAATTTCACCATATGAAAAATGTTTTTTCAATTTTCTCATGCAGGAATTGAAAGATTTATCTAATATTGCACATTTATGTGTTTTGGGACTATCCCAACTTATAAACCAAATTTGGTCAAAATCTGTGATTGAAGCCTTAGCACCTTCTGCATGGTTTTCTCGCGGACACGCTCTTAATATCCGATTGACTTTAAATTTATACACAGTGTTTAATGTCATGAGACGAAGAAGCCTATTGATTTTAGGCGATTTCTGATAAGTACTGCCAGAGTTATGGCCCTTGATCACTTTGAAAAATCTTCTGACGCTCTAGCGGCTAAAGTTATCATCTGATTGACTTCGGATTGATACACAGAGTTTAAGGTCTTGAGACGAACAAGTATATTGATTTTCAATGAATTTTTATGACTTAAACAACTAAATCCATGATGTTAAAAGTTTCTATACTAAACATTAGCATGGGCCAGAACTTTATAAAAACCAAACAAATTCTAATGGTTTTCTGATAATTACTTAATTAGTTGTTACTCTTTATCAGATTTTAATGTATTATAAATGTTTAATTACCGAAAAAAGTAAAAATATGCGACAACTCTTGTTGACTCCCCAGACGATTTAGCTGCTGTGGGCGTATGTTTCGTTGCCTGGCAACCTATCTTTAATTTCAGTGTTATTCAGCCACCAAACAATGTCATCGATGCCTAGATCAGACAATAATACAGTATTATCATAATTCATATTACATCCAAGTCCTCTTATTTTATCTCTTTCTAAACCTCTATAATGTAACACTGCTTCTTGTACAGCATAAAATGCATTAATTATTAAACCAATAAAAGAAGCCAGAATTCTAACAGAGATGTGATAGTTTTTAGACTTGATGAAATTAGCATATTTCAAAATCTTTTTAATCTTATCCTCAGTCAGGAAAACTTTAAATTTCACAGAATCAATAATGAACCCAAAGAACACAATAGTCTGCTTTGGTATCAAACTTGATTTACCAGTATTAATTATATACCCTAAAGAGCATAATTTATTTTATGATCAGTAGTGGAATACCGCGTTTTATCAGTGAAATAAAAGTGTTATTCCACTGGCTAGTTGTTTTTACCTAAAATGATTGTAAAATCATAAAATAAATAGAACATTTGTCATTTTGTCGTGAATAACATGTTTTATTTCATCTCTAAGCAAGAAAACGTTTATATTTTCACTACTGTATCTTTACAACATTGCTGTTCATCTTGATTCATAATAAGAGAGTCATCAATATAATAAGTACACCGAATACCTTGATAACGGAACCAAGTATATAATGGTAGACAGACAAACTGATAAAGTATATTGTTCCAAACAAATTTTAAAAATTTCTGATAATCCTTATGTATAGCAATACTAAAATATGCATCTTTAAGATCTATTGAAGTAAAAAAGTCTCCTTTTTGCAATGTATCAAGAGCAATCTGAAAAGTTTCTTGTTTAAAATGTTCGTACAGAACAAACTCATTTAATGGCTTTAAGTTTATAAGAGGACGAAATTTACCATTAGGCTTCGGAACAATAAATAAATTGGACACAAACTGATCTTTTTCCCAAACAGAGGGAATGATAGCCCCTTTAGATAGAAGTTCACTAACTTCATTATCGATTATTAATCTAAATTCATCTGAAAAATTAATAACATTAGGCAAACACAATTGAATCACTTTATTAACAAATTCAATTTTATATCCACATATAACATCCAAAATCCATGGATCGTTTGTCAGTTTATGCCACACATCAAAATGGAATTTCAAATTCCCTACATTAGAGAAATTTAACTCATATTGTTTTGAGGATTGGATACACCTAAAAAACCTCGACGACCTCTTCTTGAGCCCCTGTAATTGGTGTATGGCTGAAATCTATTACTATTATTATAATTATTATATCGCCATTGACCCCTGTCTCGGATAGCCTGACCACCGCGGGAGAACCTCCTTTTACCGCGGAAAGACTGATTAAGGTTTTCTCTATTATTTGTAACAGAGAATCCTGTGTCACATTTCCGAATTTCTTTAGAAATATCATCTCCAAACAAATAGCTTGTTATAGGTGTATTTATATTACATATATTAGAATATTTCTTTTTAAGACAAGGACGAATGAGATAATGACGCCTCAGAGACAAGTGGTATTGAACTTGACTAATTAAAGTAATTGAATCAGAAATTAACCTCTTTGCAGTGGCATTACCCGAAATTTGATTTTTTAGAAGTTCTGCCAATTTTACTATTGGAACAATACCGGTAGCAACTAATTGCTGTATTTCCCTGAAACTTTTACCATAGGAATGGCTTTTTGCATCTATCTCGTTCCATATCTCATGGTTAACTAAAGGCGGCGCTAGCATTCCACAATTGCCAGGTATTTTATAAGTATCAATTATATCATCAGTAGAACACTGCGACGTGCACGCCGTATTAGTCAAATCAGCCAAAGACTGAGAAATGTTCTCGCATCTTTGTGGAGTTTTTAGCTTAGGTAATGGCCAAAAATCATCAGACTCGCTCAGTTCATTGTTTGTTGTATCAAATAAAGCGCCACTAATTCTCCCACTAACAGATACAGGACTATTGTTAGCTTTGTGAGGTATGTTGTCAACTTCTACCTTTAAATTAGGCATATTTGACACATTCTCATATTCATTAAATGCGAAGTCATCTTCCTCTAATTCAAAATCATTATTCACCTGTGAATCGACCAAACCCAATTTACATTTTAATGCAGCTATATCTGCCTCAGACAAATTATCCAAATCAATCAAATTTGGTGTGTTTTTAATAAGTTTAGTCATGTAAACAGGTCTCACCTGTGACGTCGTGTCTGAGTGCGACTGTACCATCGTTAGGGTGCCCCGTGGCCGAAACTTTTCCCTACTAAAAGTTGTACTCGACACGTTGAATGTGCACGCTTCAGTGAAGTAACTCTATTTGAATCACAGACGAGTCTCGGGCTCTTTGTGTCTATAAATAGCCACAGCACGTGAAATTCTCAACACTTGTAATAACTATTACAGACGTAAAAAATCTATTGTTGACGATTCTGAATAGCAGTAATATTTAGATTTTTGGTTATTACTGCAGCTTTAGAAGTTACGCTCGTTTTATTTTTTAAATTGCTTTATCATTAACTAAACCGTTAGGAGTGGCATCTTTTGGTTTAGTAGAAATAATATCTCTGAATAACGCGGGTTGGGCAGGAAAATGATACTAGCAGTAGTTTCATTTTACTTTTACAAGGTTCTTAAAACAATTGTTGTGTCGCCCAACGGGCGTTATTTGTAAATTCAATTTCTTGTTCTAGCTTTCTGTCATGTTTCGTAAAAAAGTAGTCTTGATTATCCCGGCCTGTCAATCAGACGGAGAATGGTCGGTAGACTGGTTAAGTGAGACTAATTTCAAAACAAGGGCACGCAACCTATTTTTTGCTCAAAAGTGTCTGGATGTCATGGACGACACTCCGAACCATTTTTCAGTGTATTATTTATAGATGGTTAAATGGTCATATCTTATTAAGTACAACATGGCCGTTTATTTAGTGACTATAATTGTGCGAAACTGATTTAAGGCTTAGTATATATATAAGTATTGTGGTGTAATTGTCGAGATATTTATTTATGGTGGGGCAGCCTACCTGAACCACAGATTTTATTTTACCTGATTTTCTACCCCTGGCTTTATAAGATTTAGAAGGTATAGTCTTCGATACCTCTGCAGGTGGTACAAAACTAAACGACTCAGAATCAGCTTCTGGGTCGGTAATAGATAGGACATCGTCCATATCGGTAGCCATTTTAACAGAATTGAACAACGTTCAACCAGTAAAAGATGAGTGAAAACTCAAAAGTATGGAGCTAACGTCCACACGGGCTTAAAGTAAAAACAAAAATCGACAAATATCGAAAGATTAAGAAATCTACAGGATCTTACTATCCATGCGATCGCTAGAATAATAATGATTGCTGACCGTTCGTTCGTTCGTTCGTTTCTGGAGTTTTACGTCCACTTCCACCTAAGGTGATATCGTAGACAATTTGCTGACCGGGATTATTGCTGAATAAATATGAATGTTTGGTCATGTGATATGACTGTTTTTACCTTCACTTTGAAGAGCGATAACTCTTGCGATACTAGAATAGTATGCTGAATACACATGAAAAGCCGAAGGCTTTACGGGAAATAATGTGTTTAAGGCAGTTCAGTTTTCAAAATTTTCTCCCAACGGTTACGTCTTGGCGGACTGTAAAAGATTGATCGGTTGAATTCGTGTCAGCCACATTAATTAGGCTATATTAGACCACTTTGAGGTTGCTTTGTTCACGGGCTGGAATAGCAGGAAAACACGTTTTTTTCCACACATAGTAAGCTCCGCTCCTTCGCCTCTCGCAGAAGACCAACGGCGCTGTCTGTAAACCTGAATTTTTTTGGGGAATTTCGGTTTCTGCCCTCCTGTCATCGAGCCCATGTGCCTATGTTTAAGGATACTGAATAACTTCAAACTGTTTTGCGTAGGGGTAAACACCACTACTTGGACAAAATTTCTCTCATAGTCAACTGCATGGTATGGTGTGGTTGTCAACAAATGTTTATTATTATCAAGTCACCAAATTTGAATATTAATCAATGTTTATTTCTATATTTCAAATAATACAGTTCGCAGTACGAGAGTTCTTCAAACACGAATATTTAATCATATTGGCATGGAATGGTTCTAATGAGTTTATTTCAATCTTTAACGATAGGAAACTTCAACAAAATTCTGTAAAGACAAATTCAGGCAGTTACTTCAGAAAGAATGTAGTTATCTTCCTTAGACCGTGAGCACGTCGAATAAGTAATTCTGCAATTGCTTGACAATTCTACCAGACTTAATAGATGAGATCATTGACACTTGAAATATGACAGAAATAACATATATTCTGGTAAGGCAAATATATCGTTTTGGGGGTTTTCATGGATGCTTAGTTCATTTTTAATGGTCTCATGTCAATGAAATCTACATTAGATGTTAAATATGAAGCCAAAGTCAGCGCACAGAAGATACAAAGATACGGAAAACATCATTATATACGTAATACGTCATTCATATAGCACCTACTAATGTCATAATTTCTAAACATTCATAGGCATATACCTTTCACACAAATCTTTCAAGACGACAGCCTTCAATCAGAGTCCGTGTCAGAAAGTTCTGAATCTAATGCACTGTCTGACTCAGATGTGTCACTAACAGAGGTATCATTATCTTCCTCATCATCACCATCATCAATGTCTACCGATGTTCTGAACTTAAGTGGCAAGGCCGGGTTTATATATCGTACAGGAACACACATTCCCTTTTTCAACTCCCATCCATGTCTGAGTGGATCAGCTACGTTACTGACATTGTAACTTAGCATGATATATGCTTGATATTTAGCTCTTTTTATTTGCTGTTCCAGACTATCTTGATCAAGTTTTTCATCTTTAGCCATTTGCTAGCTCTACCACAAGCTACAGTTGTGGATTTTTTTGTCATTATAGATACATCTCAGCACAAATTGTTCCATGGACGCTACCAGGTTATCGGATACAGTTAATGCGACACCTAAACCATCCAACAATGATGCATCTGCACTAAATGTGGACTTTTATAGAGTCTTTTTGGAATGGCCAAAAAATCCCGATATTGTATCATAACCGGTTATCGAGTTGAACTGTACGATATGTAGGGCCACATCACGTGGCAGTAATCTTTTTGCATCAGATGGACCTTGTACCTATTACGATTCCAAATAGTTGCATTGCTCTTTTGGACATGGGCATTTACTGGCGAATAGCGATTCCATCGACAGTCAGACAGAAAGCAGATGGTAGTGTATACACATGGTACGATTATGCAGTGAAAAATTTTCAGTCTAGCTTTGCAACGACAGCCAAAAGCGAAAACGATCGTATTTGTGAATGACCCATACGATCTTCCGATCTCGACGATATATCAAAGCCGATAGTTAAATTCTGAATGCTCGAGAATTCTCCAATTTCCTTTCAAACGATGCTAATAAAGTGAGACTACAAGTGTTTCTACATAAAGAGTAAAAACACACCCAGATATTCAGTTCAATTACTCTATCCGAAAGAACTGTTATGATCTAACAGCTGACAACTGTGGTACCAAGAACATTTATATCAAAGCTGATAGTTAATTTCTGAACGCTCGAGAATTCTCCAATTTCCTTTCAAACGATGCTAATAAAGTGAGACTACAAGTGTTTCTACATAAAGAGTTCGATAAATTAGTAAAAACACACCCAGATATTCAGTTCAATTACTCTATCCGAAAGAACTGTTATGATCTAACAGCCGACAACTGTAGGTTCTAACTTTTCGAATGTGACCAATTAGAGGCGGACACTATTTTGTTTTACATTTATGCACAACTGAAATCGATTGGAAATGATGAACTTGTAGTTATAGACGCAGAAGATACTGATGTTTTGGTTTTATCAAGCTATATTTCTCAGATGGAGCCAGGGTCTCTAGCAGTTAGACGAAAGGGGCAGTGTTTTGATGCACAAAGATTACTGCCACGTGATGTGGCGCTACGTATCGTACAGTTCCCCTGATAACCGGTTGTGATACAGTGTCAGGGTTTTTTGGCCATTCCAAAAAGACTCTATATAAGTTCACGTTTAGTGCAGATGAATCATTGTAAGATGGTTTAGGTGTCGCATTAACTGTATCCGATAACCTGGTAGCCTCCATGGAACAATTTTGCTGAGATGTATCTATAATGACAAAAAATCCACAACTGTAGCTTGTGGTAGAGCTAGCAAATGGCTAAATATGAAAAACAAATGCACACGTCGTATCCAACCTGATCAAGATAGTCTAGAGCGAACTATCAAGCATATATCATGCTAAATTACAATGTCAGTAACGTAGCTGAACACTCGGACATGGATGGGAGTTGAAAGAGGGGATGTGTGTTCCTGAACAGTATATAAACCCGGCCTTGCCACTTAAGATTAGATCATCGGTAGACATTGATGATGGTGATGATGAGGAGGATAATGATACCTCTGCTAGTGACACATCTCAGTCAGACAGTGCATTAGATTCAGAACTTTCTGACATGGACTCTGATTGAAGGCTGTCGTCTTGAAAGATTCGTGTGAAAGGTATATGCCAATGAATGTTTAGAAATTAGGATATTAGTAGGTGCTATATGAATGACGTATTACGTAATTATAATGATGTTTTCCGTATCGTTTTATCTTCTGTGCGCTGACTTTGGTTTCATATTTAACATCTAATGTAGATTTCATTGACAAGCCCATATTTGCCGTACCAGAATATATGACATTATTTTCCGTTTTTTTCACCATTTCTGCTAGATTTCCGCCATATTGGGATATGGGTGCATCAAAATGGCTTGGGAGTGTTCTTAATGGATTCAGCGACCCTGAAAACTATAAAAATGACATATTACAAGGATGGTTTGATGATATTTGCACCCAACTATAAGTCTCTGTGCTATTTCGGCCGCCATCTTGGATTTTTGCCTCTCCTGAGAGTTGCCCACACTTTCCAGATGTTGCAAACTGCACAAATCCTAAGAACAGTCCCCCCTACCAGAATCAATTGTCAAACCTTCCTCCCCGGAAATTGGTCACGGATCTGGGAGTTCGACCCCTACTAATTTATATGACTTATTTTGTAAATATTGCAGTTAGTATTTTGTTCTATTTCCATTATTACTTTTAATTTATTGTAGGCAGTTTAGCTTCGTTAACATTTTGACATTTTACAGATGGTTCGCGGTAAAGGCGCGATAATTCCATAGAGCTATATATAGAAATTAGAGTCCGCACTGATCACGTGACAGTGTGCCGACATGGGGCCTTGTCCGCCATGTTAGTTCCGGGGAGTTGACGCTGACGACCATTAGATCTTTTAAATCATGTTTTATGATCAATATGCCAGAAAGTTGCTGCTATTTTGGCTGCTCAAATACCCGGAAAAAGGGTAGTGGAATAGCGTTTCATAGGTTAGATTGATTTATCAACTGTACCTATCAAAAATCGGTCCATTCTTCTAGCACTGGGTTAGGGTCAAGCTCAGTTGCCAATGTAAACGCCAATAACAATCGAATTAATCTCATTAATTTGATGTGAAGACCTAATCTAAAAGGACAACAGTTGAATTCCAACTGGCAAGGGTTCTTTACGTGCACGCCAAGGTGTACACGGGACCTCGGTTTATCGTCCCATCCGAACGAGACGCTGTCTCTACAATGCTCCCCGAAAACAAACACACTCATGACTCATAACTCAACCTCACACAACTAGGCCCTGGGCGCCTGCCCCCCCCCCCCCCCGCACGCACGCACACACACACACACACACACAATTTGACACATTTAACACCTTTTTAAAAAAAAATATATTATTAAATTCAAAGTGGCTATTGTTACGAGTCTGAGCCAAGTATAGAACGAATTCCAAAATGACTGCCGATCTCCCCAACACCAGCTTTGAAAAAGAAGCAGTATTTTCAACGTTTTCAGAACTGAAGGCAGCAATTAAGAGATGGGAAGGGTTAGGGTTAGGACTATTTTTACGACTTTTCAGCCTGAGGACTATTTTTACGACTCGTCGTAACAATAGCCACTGCCTATTAAATTATACAGCCACCATATCTTCTAACTCGTATGTGTCATTGAGTCAACTGGTGGGGTTTCGATTCCCCGGTTATACGTGACAAGTAGTAGGGTCGCCTGTCCAACCTCGTGGGTTTTCCCCAGGTCCTCCGGTTTCCTCTCACTGCTAAAGACCCCTACGCGCAAGCAAATTATTGAAATAAAAAAAAATTAAACCATGTTAGTCCCGAAATGACCTAGTTTGTGTCGAGTGGAGTTAAACCCCATCTCTCTCTCTATCTCTCTCTCTCTCTCATGAACCCACAGTAACAGTTACTAACAGTTGTTCTGTTTTTTTTCACCTAGGTGGTTATTTTCTTATACTCTATGACATAGGCCTCAAAAAGTGAAGCAAACTTTATGACCGTCTCTCAAAGTGTGGATCGAAGTTCTAGTCCACCATTCACTGTCACCTCTCCTCTGCAGTAAATAAATATCAATGCAAGCACCCACAGGGCTTAAAATATTATTTTCTTAAATTACAGATTTCCACTAAAAAAAACCAAGAAGCTTCTGAACAGATGGCTGTTAAACATTAGACGAGACAATTTCGTAACAGCAGATAGGATTATTAGGTACAAATTACATTTGATGATATTTTTAATTTTCATTTTATTGCTGTTTTTTCATACTATGCCCGGGCAGTTATCAATGTACTTGTAAGTTAGGGAGCTGCGGTTTCTCAGTGACAGAATAAAGTACCTCGGGATTTTCCAACGGAGCTTCCCCTTGTCAGTGGTGCAGACAGAGTGTTTGACAAGGTACAGTGTCTAGTCGTTCGGATGTGACGAAAAATCGGCGTGCACGTAAAAGAACCTTTAACAGGTGGAAATCGATATAAAGAGTAGGCCGTACCGCCGCTGTTCTGGCAAAATTTCTCTCAGAGCGCACTACATGGTGTATGCCCGTCTTCAATAGCCTAGTTGGTGCAGAACAGTAGGACGTTAAACCCCATTTCATTTCATAAATATTTTTTTTCATTCTGGAAACATATTTCCTTTATTGTTGTTGTTGTTCTAAAACTATTCACTTCTCTACGGGCCATTAATTTCTCTTCACTTTTTCAGTACCATAAATTTCTAAAAATAATTAACAAATAAATAAATACCGGTAAATAGAAATACAACATTTTACGCAGGCTATAAATTTTTCTTCATTTTTCATTCCCTAATTTCCTAAAATAAAATAATTAACAAATAAATAAAAATACCGGTACATATAATTCTGCGGGCTATTGATTTCTGTTCACTTTTATTGTTAAAAAAACCATTCATTTCTCTACACTCTTTATTAATTAGTTCCATAAATTTCTAAAACAATTTAACAAATTTACTGTATAGGAATACATATTGTAGACATTGCACTAATTTAAAAGATCAATATTTTTAAAAAAATTAAAAGAGAAAGCGAAGGTAAAGTAAGTAGACGTAGAGACACTGCGGTCGACATCGCTGACATTTCAAATTAAATTATTCTATAACCTTTACGTGGAAAGAGGGTCCCGGAGATAAGTCGGTCCATGGATCTTTATTATTATTTTCATTAAACAATACAAATTTGGGTGAGAAAATTTAAAAATTTAATATTTGTGCACGTTTTAAAACAGTTTGACACAGATTGATTGATGGATAACATAGTGAACATCCGGGTATTTACGTTCATACTCCCCGGAACTAGCAGTGGCGGCCGTCGCTCCATCCCGGCACAAACCTTTAACGTAATCTGTTTCACAGAGAATTACGAGTCTCGTATAATATCTCTGTCATAGATGACTGCCTTAACACGTGCTGTCACAGCACGCGGTGTGAATCATTGGCTGAATGGCGCGTGCATTGTTTACATAAGACATAACTGCTTCGGAGAGAATGCTGCATTTTAGTCAATTTAATACCCATTTACACTAAATCGGAAATAATTTTTACCTACAAATACGTCAAACGCCTTTATTTATTTTTCCAATATATACCAAAAAAATTTTAGAATTTAATATGTCGCAGGAAAAAAGTTAATATTTCTAGCTCATTAAGCCGCATCAATGTCATCCTTATCAGTGATTGTCGCGGCCAAGCAAATATTCACTGCGGATCAGTGTCCCTTTAACGTTGTAGTCATGGGAGTCACGTGATCAGTGCGGACTCTAGTTTCTATATAACTCTATGCATAATTCTAAGCTCATTTTGGTAATAGACGGCACTGTTTACAATTGTATGGTGGCTCATTGGGAACATGTAAAATTGACCCGACAAACATGACGACATTTTTCTGTCAAAAATAACAAAAATATTTTACGTACAAAAGCATACTATTCTAGATATATTTTTTTTTCGATTAATAAATAGGCTGTTTAATCGTGCATTTTCACAAATAATGCACTATCGATTGTTTTGGCCTATTCGTTTTCCAAAAGAATAATATATAGCAAGAACTCATTACGTCATGGGGAATCACGGTAGCTAAGTAGGTAAGACGCTGGCTCGCTAGTCTGGAGGTCGGGTGTTCGATCCCTGCATTGGCCGAGAAAGTTCATCCAGATTTTCCGGCGTGGTTTCCCCTTGTCAGTGATGCTGCAGGACGGAGGGCCTGACAAGGACAGCAGTCTAGTCGTTCGGATGGGACGAAAAACCGAGGTCTCGTGTACACATTGGCATGCACGTAAAAGATCCCTTGGCAGTTGGAATTCGATATAAGAGTAGGCCATAGTGCCGCTGCCCGGGCAAAATTTCCCTCATAGCAAACTGTATGGCGTATACCCGTCTTCATTCGCCCATGATAAGGAGCAGAATATAGTAGGACGTTAAACCCCATTTCATTTCATTTCATTTTCATTACGTCATGCATGAAAGTGAATACATAAATATAAATCGGTTATGCTTAGTTTAGCTTATCTCTTTCCTCCAAAATTATGAAATATTTTACGCACACAAATAAAGTATTTATGATATCATTGGAGTAATCTAAATCGGGTAAGGCTTCCAAATCATCGGGAGCCGCGGTGTCTCGGTGAGTAAGTCACTGGCTCGGTAACCAGGAGATCCCTGGTTCGCTCCCGGAGTTGGAAGAGAAAGTTCCCCAGGTTTTCTGGCGTGCTTTCCACCTGTTAGTGCCGGACAAGGGATAGTGCCTTAATGGGACGAAAACGTGATGGCGTGCACCAAGAGTAGGCCATAGCGCCCCTGTCCTTACAAAATCCCCAGAAATTGCACACTTCATGACGTATATGGCTGGCGGATGTGGACAGAAAGATGATTTAATATACATATTAATTCGACATCTACTGTTTATATTAAATTGATTTAATATGTGTATTAAGTCAACCAATGAGAGCATCGTTTTTAATATCTATATTAATTCCATTTAATATGTGTATTAAGTCCACATTTAATGTCTATATTAAATCGATTTAATATGTGTATTAAATCAACCAATGGAAGCATTGTTTTTATTATCCATATTTAATCCATTTAATATGTGTATTAAGTCCACCAATTACTAGCTAGGAAATAATATCTGTATTAAATCAACCAATGGGAGAACTGTTTTAATTATCCATATAAAATCGATTTAATATGTGTATTATGTCCACCAATCACTAGCTAGGAAATAATATCTGTATTAAATCAACCAATGAAAGCCATCCTTTCAATGACTGGCCATTGTGTCAATATTTGATTGAAAACGACTCCAGCGACACGAAATCCTAACGAAATGGCACGTTTAACTGATTTACAACAATTCATTGATGATTTTCGGAACGAAGTAAATGACTGTTGGGCGATTAACGGCATCGTTGATGCTGTTCTGGGCCACTAGAATACCCGGCAAGAAAGACATAGTAGTTATGGGGCCTGTAGAGGGACGCACGTTGTGCGCATGCGTGTGCATATGACCTTGACCTCACGTGACCTAGCACTGAATGACCCCTTGCAGGTGCGTGACATTGCACGTGTGTGCACTGGATGACCGCCTGCACGTGCGTTCCAATCCTTTGTTATTCGGCGCCTGTCGTACACCGTCCACCGTGGTGGCGACGGATCTCGTGGAATCGAACTGACAGGCGGTGTCTTTTTCCCACAGGACTTGTTTCGACAGGTAATGGCTCTTGGCTCCCTTACCGAAACTCAACAAATTCTCCAAGTAAGCCCGGTACTGATAGTTTGGCAGAGAAGTGGTGACCAAGGTTTCGGCATCTGTTCCCAGGCGTAATTTGACGTCTTTGAACAACGAATGAAACAGATTGTTAACGGGTGCGACTTGACTGTCCGCATCCAGGTCACTCCCGTCGTTCTTGGTCACCTTCAGGGCCAGGTGCAGCGTCATGTTGGCCAAATCCATGTAATCGCTGGTGTGATTGGAAATATGAAATTCGATGGGTCCGTCGTGGTTCAAGTCGGGTGTCAACGGATACTTTCTGATATTGGTCACTTTGTGTATGGCCGTCGGGTACGCTGAACAAATTCTGCAATTCGTCTCGCGCACAGGGACTGAGGTGGGCGTCTCTCACTCCTATTTATACGTTTTGGAGACTGGTCCTGTCGATCCACGAATTAAAACTCGCCGGATAACCTAACCATTTCACCAACACTTTGTCTTTTTTTCTTTCGAGTACTCTTTCGGTGGGAAAGATCTCGTCGTCGTTGACTTGAACCGCTTGCAATTCTTCGGGATAGAAGGTGCCTTGTATGGGTTCGCCTCTTTCGTCCAACAGCTTGTAAACGTTTCCAGAGTCCAGTTTGGCCAGTAACCTTTGTCGAAGGCACAGTGTTTCGGCAGAGCCAAACGTACGGTCGTACCGACGTCCATTGTTCTCTTTTTCTTTTTGAGGGGACGTGGAGGTGTTGTCAACATCCATTCGTGTTCGGGACAAACGTCTTGGGGTGCCATACCGATGGTCCGATGTCGTCTGGCATTGTAAGCCCGAACCAATTCGTCTAGCACGTCAATGTACCGTTGTGTTTATCGATGAGTAGAGTATCGCCACATGCGCTCTTTCAGTGTCTGCTGAAATCGTTCCACCACACTGGCTTTGGTTTCGATGTTGTGTGTCACGAAAAAATGAATTTTTTTCTTTTTTAGGTAAGCTTGCATTTTTCGATTGAGGAATTCGGTGCCTTTGTCTGTCTGAAGTCGCTGGGGTTGTCGACTTTGAAAGATTCGACGAAAGGCGTCCACCAAACTATCTCCCGTCTTGTTTTTGAGTGGCAACACCCAAGCGTACTTGGAAAACACGTCGATGACACACAGCAAGTACCTGTATCCCTCATTCTGTTTGGCCAAGGCCGACATATCGCTCAAATCAGCTTGCCACTGATGATCTATGCCGGCCACCACCGTGGGAGTCCGAGAGAATTTCTTTTTCAGTGGTTTGTGCAAGGTGTACGGCCTTTGTTGTTTCAACCATGTTTTGACTTTGTCCAAGGGCACACCGGTAGCTTTGTGGAGACCCAGGGCTCCACCAAAAGCGGCCGGGTGTTTCGGGTCGTAATAGACTTTCTTCAGCTTTCGTTCCATGTTTCAGCCGGTTTCCATGTGATCAGGCTATTTATAGTTTTTGCAAGGGGAGCCATTGGGCTCGTCTGGTAGGTGTACTCGTAGATCTGATTTGCCCAGTAGGTGTACTCGTAGTAGGGGTATCCGTACTTGAGATTTTCTTCTTTCTCGGGCGTCACGGCGGAACGGGAGTCCGTGCGGTTGGCGTGGACAACACGTTCCACCGTTCTTGATTGCCGATGGCTTCGCGCGGAACGTTCGTGACTTTCAAACTTTGCATCACGCCAAACCATCCCAGTGGAGCCTGAGTATTCTTTCGCCGACTAACCAAATCGTTCAGTGGACCGATGTGAGATTGCCCATTGTATTAACTGGACGGGTAGGCCTATTCACCTTCGGTTATGAGTCAATGTCAAATAAGCGGCTTCTTATCAACACGATCGGCTCTGGGCCGGTTTAATTCTACGTACCTCTCGTAGCTGAGAGAAGAAAGATTTTTTTAGCCGAGAGAATATCTTCCGTCAAAGTGATTGTTGATTCATAGATTCTAATAACCCCTTTTGCAGTTTATATGAAAGCTTTGATATCTGCTATGCAGATCTAGTTCTTCTTCTTTTTTTTTGGGGGGGGGGAGCCTATTTCTCAGTAACTATAAGAGGTAGAGGTCTGAAGTTTGGTTTTCTCTCGGGAAACTGGGTGGTGGTTAGTTGATAAATGTAAAACGAAATTTGTGCGCATAGCGGAAATGCCTCAAATCTTTAACGTGCACGCAAATTGAAAATCGACCACATTTCTGCTAATTATCAACCGATGTTTCTCATATTTAAATTTTTGGATAACTGGAGACATTTCTTAGCTGATAGTAGTTCACAAACGTCGAATTTAGAAACTTTGTTGCTTTCATTTTTTGGCCGAAAATTGGAAAATTTTCAAAATTTTCTAAAATTGTTATTTTTTGGAATTTTGAAATTCTGATTACATTTTGTGATAGCTAACATCAATCCGATTCCAGCGATATAAGTTTTGTTTTGAAATTCGGATTTTGATTTTGGTCGATTTTTGTCGATTTTTAATCAAAATTCAATAACTCTAAAACGGCTTCAACGATTTTTCTGAAACTTCAGTATTATGAAGTTTAAGGACAAAACTAGTGCTTAAACTATAAATGAAAATCCTCTAATCTCCGGAAGTGGTCAAGAAAGGTATCCAAACTTTGACAAAATTGTGAAAAATGGGTGCCTGTGCGGAAAATGCGTAGTATCAATGGTGTTCTTGTCGATTAGTTAAAGTTTTACATCGTTTAATAGCCAATTGAATTGTCTATCGGGTGGTACTAAAGCGGCATGTTTCTATCGAACATTTAAAAAGTTATGTGACTTTGAAAAGTAACGTTTTTTACGATTTCGAGCAACCTTGGACGCATGTTTCTCGGAAACGCCCACAACGATTTTTTAAAAATTTTCTCAATCGAGAGGCTAATGGGTTGGCTGTTGTGTGAAACTACTGTATCATTTTTTGAAATGTCATGGGTAGCCTAAAAACAGAGATCGAAAATCGAAAACGTCGTATTTTTACGATTTGGAGCATTTTTAGAGGTCTATTTCTCGAAAAGTCAATATAATATTTTTTGGGAACTTCTTCTACAGAGAGTCCTATCAGTAGTGTTTTATATAAAACCATTGTACAACAGTTCCAAATTTCAGGAGTAGCAGAACAAAGGGATCGAACATTGAACACAGCACCTTTCATTGTTAAGCGAAACATAAGGGGGGGATACAATCTGTACGTTTTGTCAACGTATAGAGCCTATTCAAGAGTGCTTTTATCAGTGATGATATTTGAACTGAAATTATTTCAACTATGAGTGTTTTCTTCTATCCAAAATATGGGTTTAGTGACCCTGTAACAGAAATAGTTGATTGCTGTGTGTAATAATTAGTCTTTGAATTAATATTGTTGCTTCTTTGTCAAAATTATCTTATACCGGTAATCATATGGACAGAAATCGACGGCTCGCGCTGTTTATAAGAAAGTCCAATTTGTTTAGCGGTTGCAGAAGTATCGTACAGTAGTATCGAATATTGCATCTGTGACAAAAGGCATGACGTTCTTTGAGGATGGACTCTATCTGTAATTAATAATAAATTTTTATTAGTGACGTCAAATCTTTAACGTGCACAAAACCAGAAAATTGGTGATATTTCATTGAATATTCGATCAATTTTTGAACCAGTTACATATTTGAGTAGCGGACATGAACGCGATTCCAAAGTCCCGTGTACACATTGGTGTGACCGTAAAAGATCCCTTGGCGGTTGGAATTCTATATAAAAGAAGACTAGCGCCGCTGTACGAGCATGTTTAGAGGTCTTTTTCTCTAGTTCAGAAAAACCGTAGTGTTCCGAGTGACAATTTCCAAATACCGTCCGCGATTAGAAATTATTTCAAATTTTATGTGAATGTTTTTTTAAGTGCTAGAATGATTCATATGATTGTGTAGGTAGTAGTAATTTGAAAACCTATTAAGTAATAGATACAGAAATAATTATGTTTTGACTTTCTTAGAAAATATGCAATTATCGCTTTACTTTGGGAAATACAATGACAATGGTGCACTTTTAATTCTATCTATGTCATGACATGAAGTAGAAATTTTCTATTTCTGAAATAACGATTTTATTTCAGAAATAGGGAAAACATGGGTAAATTTCGATTGCCCATTGGGCCATGATTGGCGCAAGACAAACCTCCGAGATATTTTTAATATATTTCAACATCACAAGACTTCGTTCTACTTACCAATATATCTGAACACCAGAATATTAGAATATGTTCACCATACATATAGGCCTAGACTCAATCAGTCAATGACTGTAGAGAATTATTATAATTAGTGGTCTCAATCCTTTGACATTAAATTAGAGTTATCTGCTTAGTGAACAAAATGGAAGATACAAACAAACAGGCATCTCTGCCTTTGAACTTTCTTTGCGGTAATTGTTATCTTATACGCATCAGTAATGTGCCTAATCATACATTCTAAGTGCCACTTTTCTGTATTTCATTATCATCATGTAACCGTACTCATGTAGTTTTAATATTGTTCATTTCAGATATTATCATTCTTCATGTAGAATAAACATACTATTAGTCACTACGAAATACCCAAGGGTTATTCTCTAGACTGAATCAATGATACTGATAGGTCCTGATCAGATGATAATTAAATTTAAATGACAAGTTATTGATAGAGTCTAGGGCAGAGCCGGGCTAGTTGGAACGCAGGTAAGTTGGAACAATGGGCCTAGTTCAGGCAATTATGGCCGTACCGCGCGCATACTTATACCCGGGTACCGTACGTCAACGACGCCATTATATATGAACGTTCGTTCAATTTGTCAGAAAACTCCAGTATTTATCGAAGAACAACGAAATTAGAGGTGAGTTTGCTAAATTTTGTAGGTATAGACTTTTCCTAATATCTCCGCACCTAATTGATCAATACTAAAAAAAATTATATCGACAGAATTGTCTTTTAATGCAGCTTTTACGAGACAAATTGTTTGAGTTTAGTGTTTGTTTTGATTACGTCATCATTGGATTTGCTAGTACAACTCCACTAGGGTTAGTTGGAACATGAGCCGTAGGGCACGTTGGAACACTGTTCCAACTTACCCTGTGGTGTTCCAACGTGCCTTTGTCACACTAATTCATGGGTATGATATTTGGGAAGTGGGTACCCCCCTCCCCGCCCTTTATTGACTTACAGGTCCAGTATTAAAGATAGGCCTATTAGTATTGTATGTTAACACGGACTTTTAAGGTTTTGTAACTACTATATGTCTTTGTACATGTAGGCCTATTGTTTTTAATTTTCTCACACTTAAAACTAAGTAAAGTTTCTCACGATTCAACATTGCTGTAGATTGGACTTTCTTATAAACAGCGCGAGCCGTCGATTTCTGTCCATATGATTACCGGTATAAGATAATTTTGACAAAGAAGCAACAATATTAATTCAAAGACTAATTATTACACACAGCAATCAACTATTTCTGTTACAGGGTCACTAAACCCATATTTTGGATAGAAGAAAACACTCATAGTTGAAATAATTTCAGTTCAAATATCATCACTGATAAAAGCACTCTTGAATAGGCTCTATACGTTGACAAAACGTACAGATTGTATCCCCCCCTTATGTTTCGCTTAACAATGAAAGGTGCTGTGTTCAATGTTCGATCCCTTTGTTCTGCTACTCCTGAAATTTGGAACTGTTGTACAATGGTTTTATATAAAACACTACTGATAGGACTCTCTGTAGAAGAAGTTCCCAAAAAATATTATATTGACTTTTCGAGAAATAGACCTCTAAAAATGCTCCAAATCGTAAAAATACGACGTTTTCGATTTTCGATCTCTGTTTTTAGGCTACCCATGACATTTCAAAAAATGATACAGTAGTTTCACACAACAGCCAACCCATTAGCCTCTCGATTGAGAAAATTTTTAAAAAATCGTTGTGGGCGTTTCCGAGAAACATGCGTCCAAGGTTGCTCGAAATCGTAAAAAACGTTACTTTTCAAAGTCACATAACTTTTTAAATGTTCGATAGAAACATGCCGCTTTAGTACCACCCGATAGACAATTCAATTGGCTATTAAACGATGTAAAACTTTAACTAATCGACAAGAACACCATTGATACTACGCATTTTCCGCACAGGCACCCATTTTTCACAATTTTGTCAAAGTTTGGATACCTTTCTTGACCACTTCCGGAGATTAGAGGATTTTCATTTATAGTTTAAGCACTAGTTTTGTCCTTAAACTTCATAATACTGAAGTTTCAGAAAAATCGTTGAAGCCGTTTTAGAGTTATTGAATTTTGATTAAAAATCGACAAAAATCGACCAAAATCAAAATCCGAATTTCAAAACAAAACTTATATCGCTGGAATCGGATTGATGTTAGCTATCACAAAATGTAATCAGAATTTCAAAATTCCAAAAAATAACAATTTTAGAAAATTTTGAAAATTTTCCAATTTTCGGCCAAAAAATGAAAGCAACAAAGTTTCTAAATTCGACGTTTGTGAACTACTATCAGCTAAGAAATGTCTCCAGTTATCCAAAAATTTAAATATGAGAAACATCGGTTGATAATTAGCAGAAATGTGGTCGATTTTCAATTTGCGTGCACGTTAAAGATTTGAGGCATTTCCGCTATGCGCACAAATTTCGTTTTACATTTATCAACTAACCACCACCCAGTTTCCCGAGAGAAAACCAAACTTCAGACCTCTACCTCTTATAGTTACTGAGAAATAGGCTCCCCCCCCCAAAAAAAAAAGAAGAAGAACTAGATCTGCATAGCAGATATCAAAGCTTTCATATAAACTGCAAAAGGGGTTATTAGAATCTATGAATCAACAATCACTTTGACGGAAGATATTCTCTCGGCTAAAAAAATCTTTCTTCTCTCAGCTACGAGAGGTACGTAGAATTAAACCGGCCCAGAGCCGATCGTGTTGATAAGAAGCCGCTTATTTGACATTGACTCATAACCGAAGGTGAATAGGCCTACCCGTCCAGTTAATACAATGGGCAATCTCACATCGGTCCACTAAAGAGAGGCACATACTAGTCGCCTCCTACTTCCCCAAGACATTTAGTCCAAACCTTGACTCTCATACATATAAACCATTTGGTACTACATGTACATGTATTTCGTACTTATATCATACTAAACCCCTCGTCCGCCATGTTGAATCACACAGTATTTAACGTTCTATATCCTAACATCTTTATGAAATCAACGACAAATCTAAACTTGGGCACTCCAACCATTTTTATTCTTACATCATTCATTTTTTTTTAAATAAGTAATTCTATCACAAATTATAGTGAAGACTGGACCACTAAACTAGTTACCGATCAGTTTTTCTTTGTGTTAATGCGTTCTACATTTTTAAAGCAATGATTCTTATAATGTGCGAGCCGCCATGACACCGGCGGATATTATAACTTCAATAGGCGAGAAACTTCAGGTAGCAGTTGGGTTTCATCAAATCATATAATTATGCGGTACGGCTTCACCCTTATTTCAATGGGAATTGGTTTATTATATGTGCAGTGCAGTTTTAGGTCAGTTTATGTGTAAATTAAGGGAGCTATACATAGGCCAGTAACCTTTTTGTAGTCATTTGACTAAAAAAAACTTGCGGAAAGGAACTCCGTAGGACAAGCCACTACTGTGGCAGGAGTAAGGCGGAAGACATCAGTAGTGGAACCATTTCTAAGTTAATCCCGAAGTGCGTTGCTGTTGTAAGAATATATAAAATGGGGTTTACGGTCCCGCTTTTTTGCTGTAGTTTGAGTAATGAGTTAGAGCGTACATCGCATTTTCCGCACAGGTACCCATTTTTCTGAATTTTGTCCAAGTTTGGGCACTTTTTTACCACTTCCGGTGAATAGAAAATTTTCATTTTTACTTTAATGACTAGTTTCATTCTTCTACTTCATATTCCTGAAGTTTCAGAAAAATCCTTTATGTCTTTTTTTTTTATAAAAATCCAATAATAATTGACTATTTACAGGCAAAATAACGAAAACGGGGACTTATACAAAATTGCCCATTTCTAGGCAACTGCTTATATTACAAACTAATTTTAACATACATTTTCTTCGTATGGATTATAGCTACAAGGTTATAAAAGTTACGTAGATATATTGTGAAATTTGAAAAGCCTGAATGGGCTGTAAATAGGTTAATTTTAGACCTTTTTTCACCTCTAAATCGAATTTGCTCGAAAATGAAATCGAAATTAAAAAAAACTAAGCTCAGCGTTTTTTGCGCCTTTAAAGGGCACACTCTTTTAGTTATATCAGTTTTAAAAAAAATAATATTTGCTTTTGAAAAATGGTACCTAACTGTCAAAATTGTAGTTTTTGGTAAAATTATGCCACTTCCGGTGCCGACAGATAACACTATCGGTAACAAAAAAAATGACAATTGAGACAACAGAGCATATGAACTTTGTTTTATACAACCGAACAATAAATAATTTCCGCACAGGCACCCATTTTTCTGAATTTTGTCAAACTTTGGATACCTTTCTTGACTACAGCCGGTGATTAGACAATTTTCATTTTTACTTTAAACACTAGTTTGTTCCTTCGCCTTAATATTCCTGAAGTTTCAGAAAAATCGTTGAGGCCGTTTAAAATGAATACGATCTCTACGTTTTGACTAAAATGCGAAAAAAAGTGAAAAATCAAAGTTAACTTTGCAGAAAAATATTTATATCGTTGGAATCGGATCGACGCCAGCTATCCAAAACTGTAATCAGAATTTAAAAATTCCAAGAAAGTATCTAAATTCGACGTTTTTGAACTGCTATCTGCTCCGAAATGTCTCCAACTATCGAAAAATGTAAATATGAGAAAAATTGGTTGGGAATTAGCAGAATTGTAGCCGATTTTCAATTTGCGTGCACGTTAAAGATTTGATGCATTTCCGCTATGCGCACAAATTTGGTTTTACATTTACGCACTAACCACCATCCATTTTCCCTAGAGAAAACCAAACTTCAGACCTCAATCTCTTATAGTTGCTGAGATCTAGCTTCCCCCAATAAAGAAAATAATAACTAGATCTGCTACTGTCCCATGCAGATATGAAAGCTTTCATATTCATCGTCACGTGACATGGATTATATCAAGTATCTTAGAAGAAAAATGAACAAAAAATTATTATCAAAATCGGTGAAAAAGTCGCGAAGTTACAAGTCTAAATATAGTGAGAAACATTGCACCCGGGCAACAAAATAATCTGAAAACTAAAGGGAAATAACTGAGAGTTGGATTGCTGTAATCGGAATGACTTTCCGTTCCAGAAGTTTCAGAAAAATGGATCAAGCCGTTTAAAAACGGGACGGACGAGAACATGAAACGAAAATGGCGGGAAAGAACTAAAAAGGGGCAGGAAAATATCAAAAAAATAAATGAAATAACTTTGAACGGAACTAACATTGTTTGAATCAGATTGACCTTAGCTGTTCGAATATTTAGGTTAAATTTGTAAATTTTGAAAATTAAAGGCATAAATTGTCCCGTTAACAACTTTGTCGGCACGTAAAAGGTCAAAGGCGAAATACGAAATTTTGAAAATTTTCAAACACCAAAAAATCGATCTTGATCTCGAGCTATCCTGAAATGCATTAATTTCAGAAATAAGAGACGCATTGAACATATTACAGCCTATTGTGTGTGTTTTTCACGTCTG